TCATCTGTGATCTATTACTGAACAGACGCACGGCAACATGGAATCTATTTGTTAAATAGATAATGAGTAGCGTAGCCAATCAGAGAACAGCATTCGTGATAGGACGCTAGTAGATTTATACTAATAATGAATAGTGGACAAAGCACTGGAACTGACTATCACTCATAAGAAACAGGGATGTTAAAAAATACCCTTCAAAAGCCTAGAATTTTGATATATTTTTGAACCGTAAAAAATTTTGTATAGTTTCTCAGTTGTCAACGGCAACGGAGGTGCGATCGTACTACATATTAGCGGATAGTCCACGATAAGAGAGCCAATCAGATTCGGAGATTTGCACCACTATCTCTCCCTCAACCAGAGTGGCCGGTCTCGCTTATTTGTTTTCGTTTCAAAGGTCTAAAATCTGCCAACCACATTGCTCTAAGCGAGAGGAGAGATAAAGATGTAATATCCGTTTGCATGGTATACACTTGGAGTAGATTAATGTCCAGTGTCTAAACATCAGTTCCATCAATAGCAGCTAACGACAATGATTTGAAATTTGCCCATCAAGGCGAATAACTCTCTTCCCCGAGTTAATAAATATGGCTGGTGTAACTTAAAATAATATAAAAACAAACAAACAAAAAACCACTGATATGAAAGCTATTGAACAATGCCTTTTTGTGTGGTGGGTATTATCTTGAAAATAAAATCTGTATTTTTAAATGTTATAAAGTTTTCTTTTTTTCAGTTTTTTCAGTATCGCACACTATTTACAGAAAAAACAACTTAATGTAAGATGGTTTACAATGATATAGGAAAAATAAATACAGATGGAAATTAACTAGAAGAACAATATTTAATTGTGTACAGTGACCAAAGTAGCCAATGAGCTTTCGAATTGGTCACTGTCATGTAGATATAAGTTGGAGTAGATTATAGACACTTTGCATAAATGGCGTCTAAATTTGAATAGCAATATTTTATACATCTTAAGCCTCGTGTTAATGTATCCAAGCTTAGGATGATTAAGTGTTGTCCTTTAAATATCGACGTCAGTTATACAAAGGGGGGAGGGGAGGGGGGGCAAGGGTATTTTCGTGACGCCGTGATCCGGTTTTTTGTGCTCTGTGAATCGTGATTTGATAAAAAAAAAAACTGTTCCGTGAATCGCGATTGAAGTGTATTCCGTGAGGCGTGAAATCCAAAAGTCCTTGGCTGTGAATCGTGAATAGATAAGAAATAAATCGTGAATGTCTAAAGTTGAGTTCGTAGCTGAATTTCACTGCATTGTGACCAGATTTTTTCCGTGACCTTAATGGATTTAACGTGATTCGTGAAATCGAAAATTTACTATCGTGACTTCGTGACAAGACCGCCCCCCTTGCCCCCCTCTACAAAGGGTCTAAGCACTCTTACGAAGGCATGACTTTAGTAGGTACATTAAGTCACAAAAAAGTTCGAAAAAGTTACAAGTTATAATAAATTGTTTTGAGATTTTGTAAATCTTTCACGCTGTGGTTTCACGTTTTAGACCATGATTGATAGGTCGTAGGGTATCACTTTGTGTATCGCTCATATGCACATGCGTATCAGTGTACTTGGGGTTTATTAACAACGCTTTCGTATTCTAGAGTCTCTGGTATCAAGAACTCTCCTTGTTGGTTTACTGGTCTGATTCCTTCTGTGCTATGTTGATATCCGTAAAAGAAGTAGAGGATAAAACCTGTGGAAAAATCACATTCTCTTCAATGATTGTTCCGTTTTGTTAAGATGATTCACACCTAAACTTAAGGTTTCCCGGAGCCTTTTAGATGCTTTTTTAACATCTTATCGCGCAAAACAAACTTTTATCAAAAACGTCGAGGTCTTAATGTGCGTTTGACCTATTTCCACAGTGATCAGTTTTGATGCCATATTGAAATCTTGATAGATGGCCTACAAAATTGTTTGTCAAGCATCATAGCACTAGGTGGGATTGGGTGCTTTGGGAGCCATGTATCCAGCTACGAAGAATTCAGAGTCATCAAAGGAAAACTGCATTGCTATAATACCAAGTTCTCAGAAAATGAACTTGAATAGAAATGCATTGCAATCAGTTGCCGGAGAAATTTGATACACTATGCAGAAGAAAACATTGTAGCTGGAGCAACATGCAGGACTTTGAAAACAATAGGGCATAAGTGTCTCGTAACTTACCCAGGGTCATCCAAACACCAAATCGAAGGTACGTCATCCACTGAAGGTTTGCTATCAACACAGCATTGATGAAGATAGTAATGGCTGAAAGGTATGGGATGCCAGAGACCATAAATGGAAACGTGGCAGAGTTCCTGGGTTGCAATTGGATGGCAAGAAGTGATACAACAATTGTTCCTGAGGACAAACAAATCAAGAAAAGTGCCCACCACACTCCTTCAGAGATACGATCAAAGGACCTTGTGAGGACCATGGCCAGGCAAGCGATACCAGCCACTAGGCAAAACACCGACAACTTGACACAGAACGAGGTGTTTTTATTCGCTTCTCTTTTGCAATCTTTGCGATCATCATTTGAAGGTTCCTCAGTCTTTTCTATGATTGGTCGGTAGGCCGTTGTCTGGGAAACATCCAAAGTTGCGTCATGATTTTCCGGCTGATCTGATTTTGAACAGAGGTTTAGTAGCCAGTTTGCAGTCCTCGCTCTAGAGTCATCAGCGGTGTTGTCGTAAACGCTTTGCACTCCAGGCTCATAGCGACTGACGAGGGCTGAGATGGCGACCATTGTGTAGGCCAGCAGGGTTCCGATGGAAAGAAGTTCTACCTACAAAAGATTAGAACGTAAGCTAACTTTTAACAGGTGCTAAAGGTTAGTTTGGAGAATTTTTTGCCCTTATCATTAAACTGTAAATAAAATAAATTGTAAAATGGATTGACATGAAATTAAGAAAAAGAAAATTAATGCTACTAAGGAATAATTAAACAAGCGCGCGTTGGATATGACATAATTATAGCCAAATCGGCGCGTTGGCGCTACGCACCTCGTTGGCTATAATCATCTCAAATCCATCAAGCGCGAGTGGAATAATTGTTTTATTAAAAACGCCCCCAAAATATAGAAAACTAGACTAAAATTAAAATAAAAACGCCCCAATTTAATCGCGCGTACAATTACCATATTTTTAGAGCATGGTATAATGGCTCCTAACCCATGATGGCTAAGCCAATGAAAACTTTCGAATTGCATTAATTATCCAATGATCCAGTTTTTAATAATAAAAGATATCTGTGTATCTCTGCACAATTAGCCGGGGAAACGAGCATATGGATCCATGTATGTGAAACATCAACAGAATAGAAAACTATAGAAGTGTTGTACAATAATGTTTAACATACAGTCTTCAGATAAGGAGCCAGACATCGTCTGGCCTAATCCACGATGGAAGAGAATCTTATTTAGAGGATCCAATACAGAGTGAGGTAGCGGGTGTGCATTAAAATAAGGTAAGCAAAAAAGAATCAGTTATAAAGTTGGTTAAGATTTGAGAAGATGAAGACAGACTACGAGGGCGTAACCTTTAAAGACAGGAGTCAAATGTGAATGGCTCCTTCAGGGCCCATCTTATGAGGCACAAAGGTAAAGAACAGACTAAAATAATGACACGTGACAACTTACCAGTTGCTTGATATCGAAAATCATTGCCAACAGCGCGGCAATACATCCTGCAATGATCGTCGCTCTTATTGGTGTGTAGTTCTTGTCATCTACGTGGGCAAACCATCGAAATAACAGGCCGTCCACCGACATGGAGTAGATAATTCTCGATGAGGAAAACACGCCGCAAACTAAAGCGCTGATGGTCGCGCATATTCCACCGACAGTTATGATGTATTTGGCTGCCGGAAAGTTGGTCTGTGTAAATGCTTGAACCAAAGGCGCGAAAGGGTCTAGTTGTTTATATGGTAACATAAGTGTCAGGACGGTTGCCACGCCAAAGTACGCCATCGTGCTGATCGCCACCACAAGGATTAACGACAGTGGGATGTTTGTTTGTGGATTTATGGCCTCTTCAGCGGCAGTGGTGACGACATCAAATCCCGCAAACGCGTAAAACGCGCTCGCTGCACCCTGCAGGACTCCCCGAGTGCCATAAGGAGCAAACTCGTTTGTCCAGTTTTTAATTTTGGCAAAGAACAGACCGTAGATGATTATGAAGAAGATAACAAGAAAGTTACCGACCGTTACCACTTTCTGAACATTAGCTGATAAACGGGTTCCCAGGCATACAAGTGTCACCACAGCAATCACCAATCCAAACGCAAGCAAGTCTGGGAATGGGGCAATTCCAGGATGATTCCAAGTGGCTATGTCATTCATGAAGAAGCGGTAAATTTCTCCTCCACACAAAGCATTTATGTATTCACTGCACGCACGGGCCAAACTTGCGGAGGCAATTATGTACTCCAAAAGAACATTCCATCCGACAATAAAAGCCCATATTTCACCCAAAGCCACATACGTGTAAATATAAGATGATCCAGCTTTTGGAATACGACAGGCGAACTCGGCGTAAAACAAAGCACAAAGTAACCCCGAGACAGCTGCCAACAGGAAGGACAGAATGACGGAAGGGCCCGCGACGTCACGTGCCAACACACCGGTCACAACGTATAGCCCTGCTCCAACCATTGTCCCCACCCCCAGGAAGGTTAGGTCTACGGTTGTCAGGCATCTTCTTAAGAGAGAATCGAACGACAGGCAAACTTCTTCTGGCTTCTTGCGAGTTAGGTTTTCACGCAATCTCTGACAGGCCATGTAGGTATCAAAATCGTTCAAGTCACCCTTTGGAATCCGTTTCTACAGTGGCTCTGCAAAGCAAATATTGGTAACCTTAAGAGTTGCTTAGTTGTAGCAAAGCTACTTGTTACTGCTTTATTTATTGTAACTGAGAGAACATGAGCCAAGAAAGAAATTTAAGATCCACCTCTATGTATCTAAACCTTTACTAGAAAAACATCTTTACAAGACGTCCTTCAATTAGGAGAAAAAGACGTTTTTTCACTAATCAAAGGTCGGGCTTAAAAATGGCAAATAACCTTGTAGTCACTACGAACCACACATCTCTTTGTGGTCGATTAAAAAAGTCATAAGTAACTCTTAACAAGAGAATTGCCTTTCTTAGCATCTAGATTTCGACATTTTCCTTGGATGCATGTCACCAGCTCCAAAAGGGGGAGGGAACCCCTTCCTTGATCACAAACGGAAACCCATTACAACATTGGTAGCAGCGTGCTACAAAAATTGTTGCAATCCCTGCAGTGATTTATGTATTAATTCTCCTTGCGACAACAGTCCACTGTTAAGCAAGAAAATTTTTCCCAGCTCTTATTAGATGCTATTATAGGTAATACGCGAACTAGAAAACTATTTAAAAACGCGCTTAACCAGTTTATATCTATATTACAATAAAGTTTTCATATAACGCTCGTTCTGATTGGCTGAACCAGCGTGCTTTATTCTGGAACAGAGGCACGTGTTGATGTCAGCAAGCTGGCTTTCAAAGTTTTCCTTCGGAATTTTGACGAATTTGACCCAAATTAAACCTGCCCTGTGACGCAATGGAAGCGAGCTATTTGTCTGCAGTATAAATATGGCTGCACGGACACCATTGTTAACAACAGTAGTGTTCAAACTGTACTAAAATAACAAGTTTTGCAATATTCCGACAAAACGCGCAGCGAAATAAAAAAAATTCTCAACCTAGCGAATGCTTTGATAAAGGACATCATTTGTTACGAAGTTAGAAATTATACTTACATGGAAGCAAAACAACGACAGAAAACAGCAATTGAGCATGCAGTCTCTGTTTATGATGAGAAGCTTTATTTCTGTAAAAATGCTCAAACAACACTTACATGCAGTGTACAAGTTGCTAACTAGCGATCTCCGGTCATCTCAGCGAAGCGAACCTGAACAATTTCGTTTCAGTGTTCAGTTAAAAGCTTGTCTTTATGTTCTTTCCTGCACTCGGAGTAAATCCAGTGGAAGGAGTCTAGTCTTTCCAACTTTGACGCTAGTTCGGGCAATCTTGCAGCATGCGGCTGCAAGCCTTAAATAAATGTAACTCAGCATTTCGCACTTTCATTCGCAAGTTTTGAGCTCCTTGTTTCGTAATTTCCATTGGAAAAGTGCACGTTTTCATGAGCCACAATAAGGCCGTATTCCTCTGGACTAGAAACCCTTAGATCCTTATTTAAAAATTAAACGAAAAAGCGAACTTTGAAAGAGTAGTTCTCGAAAGCTACTCGAAACCGAAAGGTTAGCTCTTAAGGTTAGCCAATCAAATTATTTGAACAATTCTAACTATAATTTTGATTGGCTTATTTTAGCGTGCTTTATGAGAGAACACACGAACGCTGACGCTACTATTACTCTTTTGGAAAATAAAGTTTGGTTTGAAAATTCAGTCGAATGCCTAGGAAAATCAATTAATTCTTTAATAATTATCATAAAACAAACTAAGAAGCCTCGTCTGTGCTCTGTTCTGTTGTAAAGCATTTTGGAAGCAATAGAGCACTCAAGAAGAAGGGAGAAACACTCAACCGACTACGTCTCGTGTTTCCCCCTACACTTTTCTTGTGCTCTACCGCTTCCTGCGTGCTTTACAACAGAACAGAGCACAGTCGAGGCTTCTTTATTTGTTAATTACTATATGTTTACTGCTTCCTCTCTTGTATTAGTTTTCTGTTATCCTAAAAGAAATGTATTTAATTAAAGGGCACATAATTTGCCCTTTCCACTTCTTTTCCCGCTGGACTTGTTTTGTTTACAATATTGTATTCATGTCGTCAAGTGGAGAAACAAACAAAAAAAAACAAAGAGAAGAGAGGTACTTCGAGATTAAGATCGTTTTCATTATTGTTAATAGCTACTTTTTTCTTTCTCGTGTTATAATTATATTGCTGGGCGCCCTTTCGTCGGACCTCTAACTGGTTACTATTATCTGCTTAACCTGTAAGACAAGTTGCTATAATTTAAACCACCCTTGGAGTATCGCAGATGAATATTCATAATTAACAATTCACCTTGCGAGTTTAACAGGATATGCGTTAACTTTTGTCTCAATAAAACAATTATTTCGTACAGTGTAAAGAAATCTCTCGGCTGGCGTGTGCAAAGGCTTGTTGATTAGCGAAGTTGTCGTTAACAGGCATTTTCATTTGTCGTAGTTAGAGGAAAACAAAGCAATGTGAGTACAGTTGCTACCCCGCTAGCATCAGTGCGTTTCATTAGTTCTTTCAATGACAATCCATCAACCGAGAATGTAGACGGGTAGATGATTAAACAAGAGCATTATCAAGGAACAGAGATCGAACTAGTGCAAGCTCTTTTAGCCACCTGTATTCTGATAACACAAACATTGGAAGAAATGAAGGAGAACTTTAACATAATTTGAATAAATTTTCAATTTCGTCAAATGCTTGACTGAGATCGCGGAGAGCAAATTGTGATTTCCTTTCGATCTGAAACGTTTAAAACGTTTAAACTATAAGTTATGTTATTTTGTTTCCCATCGAGAACAAAATGAACCTTCCAGAACGACAGATATTCCTGCAAATTACAAATAAAACTTCACTTACTAGCAGTTTTGCATAATGTGACACCACAGAAACTCAACAAGGTGCTTACCTTTTGAATTAATGGAACAAGATGTGTGTTTATCAAAACCGGATGAAATAAAACTTCATCATTGCAAGTGAAAGCTAAATCACGTACCAAGGCTGCTTCGATATCGTTGACATCGTTGAGTAGCTGAGAACGTACTAAAAGGCGCTATTTCTGACGCGTTCGTCCTGAGAAAGCAACCGTCAATTTGCGCGCTTCTCAATCATTATGTAAATATAATCTGTTATATATGCTGTGCTTTTGGTGGGCAGCAGAACATTCTTGTAACGTTCGACTGATTACCATAGCCCTGTTCAAACAAGAGATTTTAAATCCTTTTCATAGAAATTCAAAACGTATCGCAGAGAGAAAGTTTCTGTCAGGGGCTGTGATATTACGTACGAAACCTTACACGAGATTTTTGCGTGTTTAACACGCGTGGTAGCGCTTAGGTCAGTAACAGCTTACTCAATCGACGTCGAATTTATTTTTAGTTTGAATTAGACATCGCAAAAAATGCAATATGTTATCAAATCGTTTGAAGCTCTTTTAACAATATGAATATTTTCTCTTCAAAGTATTTCCATATCAATGTGTTTTCTGAGGCATTAACAATTGAATAAAGATTACTCGGTGTGTAACTTCATTGACTTGGTTGATGGTGCTAGCTAAAGAGCCGCCATATTTTGATTTGTTTTGATTTTCCTTTTTAGCAAATTCATCGTTTCATTTCTGTTTGGAACTACTAAAACTGAACTAACGGGAACTTCCAAAGATCTCCAGTTGTAAACCAGCATTGAGAAAACAATTAAACACAACGCTTGGCAAATTCCGACAACTTGACCAACTTCTAATTAACGGCGATCTCCGATAGCTCTAAAATCGCCTATTTTTAGTTAAAACATGCATATTACCACAAATCTTCGTTTACAGATTTAAGATTGAAGCTCTATGAATGATACCCAGCATTAATTGTCTTAATTAGCTTTCACTTGTCGAAGGTTTCATACTAATGTCACTAACCAAGAAAGTAGTTACGCACAAAACAAGCTCAAGTCAAGTTAATTTAATATGAAGGTTTCTTAATCATGGATTTTCTTGCTGGCGATGGACTTTCCTATGAGGTTCTGTGAGTTAACTCTGTTTGAATTCACAGTTGTTAAAAGTCGAAATTAAACATGAATTTCCAAGTCGAAATATTTGGTTAGGACAAATCCAAGGAGTGTAGAATGATCACACGGCTAGCTTTAATGTTGGATTGGGCAACAATTCGGGAAACTAACCGGAAAGCAGAGTCAAAGAAAAAGACCATTCGTCATTTAAGTTAAATTATCTTACCTTAACTTCGGCTTCAGGGTAGCAATCATTGGTAGAGAGGCTATTCTCGAAGAGGTTCGATAGGGACAGTCATGTCAACTTATTTATTACCTAAGGCAAACAGCGCGATATAATCAGCCTTTTGAAGGCGTTGGTTCACTTCGGTTCAGTGGTTTTGATGAAAATCTGATCCATCTATATTGTGTCTGGGAATTGAAAAGATAGAGAATACAAACATTTCGCATAACACTTTGAAAGTGAAATCAGCCGTTTCGTTCTGCATGAGAGAATTTAAGAACGATCCTCAACTACATTAACGGTATTAGGGATTGGGATTTTGTAAACAACATCGTCTGGCTAAGGAAACCAGGTTTAAACGGTGCTCGAATTCCTTTGAAAACGTTGAGAGTCTCATGAAAGATTTCCGAGGGTCGCCCATAGATTTCCCAAGATCGTGCAAACAGCACGATAAATAATCCTAAATAGCCTTTCAAAGGCATTGGTTCACTTCACTGGTTTTAATGAAAATCTAATCCATCTATTGTATCTGGAAATTGAGTGGCTAGAGAATGTAAACACTTTGCATAAGAATTTGAAAGTGAAATCAGTCGGTTTCGATCCGCATGAGAAAATTTAAGAACGATCGTCAACTACACTAACGGTATTATGGATTGTGATTTTGTAAACAACATCGTCGATCTGGCTGAGGATTGTTTAACAATGCTGGGATTCATTCGGAAACCTTGAGAATCTCCTGAAAGATTTCCGAGGTTCGCCTACAGATTTCTAAAGATCTCGCAAACGGCACAATAAAATTAGCCTTTTGAAGGCATTGTTGACCTTGGTTCACTTCGAGACTGCTTCCCTTAATATTGACCGTCAACACGCTCTATTCCTGAAGATCACCAACAAAAATCTTCTGGATACAGGTTCAACATTGTTTTAACGATTAAGGAAAAAAAAAAACGCAAGGGAGATTCATCGAATTTCCAAACACATAGAGGAACGTGGTCATAGACTGTGTGCTATCATCGTCTCCAGCGTTTGGAAATCCCGATGAATCACGAACAATGAAAGAGCTTCTCATCAGAGCGTAATTAAAACAGCGAACAAAAGCTTAAGATAGCATCTTGGGAATCTTAAAAGGGCTTTGGTACCTAGACAGCTGTATTGTTTTGGTTCGCGGCTTGTTAAATTCTTCGTGCTTTTGCCAAGTTTCACCTGCGGAATAATAGAATAGTTCAGGAGGACGCTGTTTCTGGTATTTGGGTAAGTCATGGAGTATAGTCGAGTCTCTGAGAAGCGAAATCCTCGCCGAAAGAAGAAGAAACATGGAGGATATTCAGAGGGTGCAGTACTAACTCGCCTATTGCAGATGGATGCCCTCTCCTTGAATTGTCAAAAACATGTTTACTTGGTAAAGACCGTTACCCACCAAAAACCTTGTTTAGGATTGCTTGCGGTTTTCGTCGCTTCTTTGCTGCCGGACAAAAAAACCTGACTGATATGAATATGCGCCCTCTAAAGCCTTTGGCAATGGAAAGAAAAAATTCCTAGTGAAGCTTGCCTATGCAATGTACTCATTACTTTTGCTCCTTGAGAACAGGTTTGCAATTTTCCAACGAGTTCTTGCTGCAGAGATGAAGGAGGAAAACATTGACGGAATCGCTTTACTACGAATGAACAACGAAGAGACGAAGTCTGTTTGGGAGTTGGATATTTTAGGTGGTCAAATCTCTTCTTCATTTCTGTAATGGTAAATTATTTGGTCTTCTGGAGACAAAACACCGAAATATTAGGGCAACAATATTTGAAGTTGGAACCAACTACATTCAGTCCGACGATCAGACGCAGCCAAATAAACACATCACGGCGGGATTGCAGATCTCAGATCTATACAAGCCAAGTGTTTGTGAGGTGTAATGATTTTTTTTTAAAGTGAGGGTTGCTTGGTTGAGATAAAGAACTATGGTTATGTGAAAAAAATACTTGAAATGCAGGGCTTAAAGTGTAACACCAGAGCGAAAAGTATAACACCAGTGCAAATTACAAGGATTTCCGAAGTTAGTGCGAAGGCACACGATGACTACCGAAGTCCATCCGAGGTATTTCGAACGTTGTCAAAATTCCAGAGCGGCTTCCGAAGATAGCCGGAGACAACTGAACGATTTCCGAACATTCTGCTAATCACCCGAACACTTCGAAAGATTTCCAAATATCACCCGAACATTTCCGACATTTTCAAAGAATTCT